ACGCCAGAAACCGCCAGACCGACAACGCCCGTAACGTTGGTCCCAAGCCCTGCAACCAATCTTTAAAAAAGCCGCAGGCCACAGCATGCAGAGGATGACGGAACCTGCAGCGCAAAACTCATCGAATGCACCTGGGCCTTTTAGCTGGTGATGACCACTTCCATATTCTTGCCGTGCCCCCCTTCGGACCATAGACCCGAGCCCAGAGCTGCATACAAAATCTCATGATGTGCCCCCACCGGACCCCGATGCCCTATAGGACATATCATAGACCGCAAGCCCGACCCTTGAACTAGAAAACGCAGCACACAACGCATGCAGCCATTGGAATACTCATACGGGCAGATCACCACATGCTTTAGCGAACCCCACCTGTGGAAAGAAACCTACCGCCCCTTGCCATTTTGTCAAGCATTTGATAGCCGTTTCGCAGTATTCTCCTCAATGGCATGTAGAACGCTTCAGCCCTCTGTTGTTCCAGTCCGTTCTGCATCCCGACACGTTCCAGTGTGGGGTCGGCTTCAAGGTGATGGTTGGCTGCCCAGCATTTTCGGCCAAACTCGGCGCTGGACGTTCTCACCTAACTCCTGGGAATCCTGGGGGTTTGCAGTCGCAGCAGGCCTTCGCCACACCTGTGCATGGCGAGCAGATGGTCGGCTAGTCTGTTTTGGAGACAACCGCCGTGGACAGTGTGATGTGCCGGCAGACTTGGGACCGGTTTTGGCAGTCTCAGCGGGCTTTCGCCATACCTGTGCAGTGCGTTCGGACAGTCAGCTGGTCTGTTTTGGACATAATGAACATGGACAGTGTGATGTGCCGGCTGGCTTGGGACCAGTTTTGGCAGTCTCAGCCGGCGTTCTCCATACCTGTGCGGTGCGATCGGATAGACAGCTAGTTTGCTTTGGGCACAATGAGCACGGACAGTGTGATGTGCCGGGTGACTTGGGGCCAGTTTTGGCAGTCTCAGCCGGTTTTCGCCACACCTGTGCAGTGCGATCGGATGGTCAGTTGGTATGCTTTGGACGCAACGAAGATGGACAGTGTAATGTGCCCGTACACCTGGGATCCGTTTTGGCAGTCTCAGCAGGCCAGTGCCACACCTGTGCAGTGCGAGCCGATGGTCAGCTAGTTTGCTTTGGATGCAATGAAGATGGACAGTGCGATTTGCCGGTAGACATGGGACCTGTTTTGGCAGTCTCAGCAGGGGCGAGCCACACCTGTGCAGTGCGCTCGGATGGTCAGCTTGTATGCTTTGGATACAACGAAGATGGACAGTGCGAAGTGCCGGGAGACTTGGGAGCAGTTCTGGCAGTATCAGTGGGCTATAGCCACTCCTGTGCGGTGAGATCGGATGGTCAGCTTGTCTGCTTTGGACACAACCGCCTTGGACAGTGTGATGTGCCAGCAGCGCTGGGACCAGTCTGACGCCGAACCTGCGTCGCAAGTTTCTAGGCCTGCCGACAGTTTCTGGCGGGAAGATTGCGATAATGTTGTGTGGGTCTGGTTTCGGGTCTATCTATGTTCCTTGGTTGGTACGTGGTGCGAAAATGAAATGACCATCGCCAATTAGTCTACGGGATAGAAGTCCGCCCCAAAGATAAAATCTATACTTGTTCAAGCCAGCATCCATACACCCTATGTAACTTATACCCTCAGGTGTCCTAAAAAATTTACGGGTAAGGCATCTCTAGTCCCCCCAGGCCCAAAGGAACTGCGACCTGATAAACATGCGAGCCGTGTCCTACCAAGGCAGCCCGGAGTTTCGGCAAAGTTGCTTTGGAAAGCCCGCAGCTATTCGATGCACCGGGGGCCACATCCTCCGAGAAACTTGGGCATCAGGGCAGCATTGCAAGCGACCTTCATTCATGCTTTGATTCATACCACTCCCCTATAGATCAATCCCGGGACCCTACATGCAAAGTCTGAGTGGAACCCGGGGTTGAGCCAAACACAAGGAGAATCGCGCGGCTTCTAGATGTCTCGAAAATGGCGGGGAGTTTTTGGTTTAGGCGCAGGCCGCACAGAAAATTTCAATGTTATTTCGAAAAGTGGAGTTTGCCCTTGCAGAATCAGACGTCAACCTGCTTCGTTCCGATGTCGCGTTCCCTGTGCCAAAATCCCTGCTCAACCCTAAACCCTAAACCAAAAAAGCCCTAAACCCTAAACATGGGAAAAAATCACATGTAGCTATGGACCATCCTCGCCTGCATTGCCCGAGTTGCGAGAGTCTAAACCCTAAAATCCGAAACGGAACCTCTTCTGCCTTGGGCGGAGCCGAGATCTCAGACTCCTGTGCCTTGTGCCACATCCCGAGCCCACCCCTAGCGCAGAAGTCCGAAATAGCTACCATTAAAGCTCCTGGTATCCTTATTCTACAGCATCATCTTATACCCCCCAAAACCCATAATCCATTGATTTAGGCCCCGGTGTTGTGCCTGAACCCGGAACCGTTAGAGTCGCCGTCCCCGACTCCAAACAAATGTTGGAAGCAGCCAAAACCCGGCTCGGGCAGTGCAGAAACTGAACGCCAGAAAACATGTCAACCCTGAAACGGCAAGTTCAGAGAAAGAGGCCTGAACCCTAGCGCGATAAAAAGCCCGAAAGTCGAACTGCAGGCAGTTTGGAAGCCAGGGTCTCGCGAATGCGGTCTGAGCTCCCGGAGCTACGCGATTGCACGGCGACCGCTTCTCTGAGGCTTTCGCTTCTGCTTTCAGGGTTTTGGGTTTCATCAGTTTCAGCACCTAGCACCTCGGTTTTCAGGATGTAGTATTTGGGGTCTTATAGAAGTGTAGTATAGAAGTATACCTGGGTGTCCAGTCGAACCTGTCTGGACCATTGGAGTCTGTAAGTGTCATATTTATACGAACAGAACAGGTTAAGTCTGCAAGCCTGACCTCTTTTGGTTTCTGGTTGTTGTCGGCCTGCTCTCAGAAACGCTAATTACACTGTTTGGCGGCCTGCTTGGAACAGATTTTCAGGTTCAGGCCTCTTTCAGATCCTAGACTGCAAGACGGCTTGTACCATGTGAAACGACACCGCGCTACTAAACTTCAGCCATCAAGCTCCGCATTCCACAAAACCCGAACTCGAGGCCCCGGAACCCAAACCCTGCTGCCACTCCTTGTTTTGAAACCCCCATATCATCAGGCAAGCCCGATCAAGACCCCTAAACCCGAGGCCCCAAGAGGCCCCAACAAAATAGAAACAAAACTACACCCTAAAGCCTGTAAACCCCAAGAGGCGCCAAGAACATATAGAAAAGCTACACCCTGCAGACCCTCGATCCTTGTTTTAGGAACCCCCGGCCAGGCCTTTGCAGAAGCGGCCGAGACGACGCAGCTCACGCCCCAGAACTCGGCCAGCGCGGCCTAAGCCGTGGCGAAGCTCCGGCTCAGGAGCTCGAAGTTGCCGGGCGGGTTCTGTAAGGGTGCCTTTTGAAGTTGGCGTTTTGGGGGTTCTTTTAAGGGTTCTGTAAAGGTACGGTTTAGGGTTTAGGGTTCTTTTAAGGGTTCTGTGAAGGCACGATTAAGGTTTATAGATATTTATAGGGTGAAGGGTGGAGGGCTGAGGGGGATTTTAGGGTTGGCTGCCTGGGAAAACGGCTCAGGGTTTGGGGTTTGCGGGGACCTGCCTTGGGCTGAGAGCTTGGTCCCAAAAGCCCAGGCTGACATCGTCCACATCAGCCCAAGTGCTGCTGGCCCTACCTCTGCTGAGCACGCAGCACACAGCCAACATCTTGCATCTCGACGCCTTACAAGGGTTTAGGGTTTAGGGTTTAGATGCCTTACAAGGGTCTGCCTTTTCTTGCACGAAAGGCTTTCAGCGGAGTTCTTGCACTGTGAGATTCCGAACTGTTAAGCCCGAAACTTTATGAACTAGAGGTCTGAATTCTTCCTTATGTCTTTGTTAAGAAAATATTAATTACTAGAACCTAGCTCAAGCACTATCGCACCTATCTAGGCCCTGTTATATACGCTCGAAATCCTAAACTCGAAAACCCTACTCCCCACCAAAAGCTTCGCAAGAGGATCCCAGGGCCTCTTTCTATCGCATCCGCCCGAACCCTAAACCCCACCCTGCATCGTAGGTTCGTCCTAGCCAGGCGGGAGGCAACAAAAAGCCGGGTGTTTTAAAACCCGAAGCCGAAGAATGAGTCGCTGGCATTTAGGCGCCTTGAGCGAGAAAAGACCCATTTGTCGCGCGACATCCAAGAAATCCTATTTCCCAGTAACAGGCCACACCTGAAGTAAATTTGCACCATAGAGTTCTACAAGTGTTATACTTCGTAACGGTTGATTTTAAGCCCCAATCTATACCAGGTGAGGGCATGCAGCTCTTGACTGGCATGGCACTCCAGCTTCATCGTCCCTCTGCGCAATCGCTTCCAAGCGGATCCACCAGCCCGGCGTGCAGGACCCCTCCACCACTGCGCAGGCGGAGGGCTCCTAAGATCAATGACCCCTGAGAAGGCTCCAATATCCTTCAGGTTCCTCATTATAGCGCCCAAAATAACCCTACTCTAATGTCTAAGGCCCTTATATACAGGATCAGGAGTGGGCTTGTAGGCCTTCTTGTCCCCTCCTGCTCGAGGCCTTGAGAACGGCGGCTTACCAAGATGCTGAGCTTGCAGAGGCCGTCAAACCTTAAACTCTATAAGGCCGGTAGGCCTAGTATAAACCTCCCTCCCCCCGCCCCCCCCGCCCCCGCCCCCGGATTTCACCGCAAACCCTGAGCCCTACAAACCCGAAACCCGAGATCCTGTAAACACTAAACCTATGTACAGCTTAATCTTGCAGAGGCCGCTGCAGCGGCAGCCATACCGAAGCTATCGGAGCTTGAAACGCAAAATGCTGCCAACGTGCTGTGGCTGGGTCCGTGATGAGGAACTGAAAATCGTTCTTGGCTTCCATAATGCGTAGTGTCGGGAGTTATATACTGCAGCTATCTATAGCAGAATTAGTACGGTTTCCGTACTATTAAGTTCCTTGACAAGAGCCCAGGTGGTGTTCCGCTGGAGTCAAATTTACCGGCACCCAAGTCATCGAGGCAACGTCCGAAGCAGCTCTGCAACGAAGTGCCACCTTCCTTTCTCAGGACATCAGCAACACTGCCCAAGCGTTAACAACCCTGCTGTCCGTGAGCCGCGCGTTGCCCCAAGCCCTGGCACACCGCATGGGTGATCTGGAGCTTAAGCCGCAAGAGCCCGCCAACACAGCGCAGGCCGGTGGACAAGCCTAAACTTTCTTCACCAAGTATCCCTTACTAGAGCCCAATGTAGCCTTTATTTTTATTTTCTTTATTGTGAGTAGTCAATGGCTTGACGGGTAGTGCAGGAGGGCTAAGAGATTGAATGCTGCAGAGGCCCCTGGCAAACTTTCCTTCGAGCACTCCATGCCGGAGCTTCGAGATTCCTTCCAGGCATCAATCTCCGAAGCGAACCTGCATCTTCGTCATAGCAAGGCTTTAACTGAAGTTTAGGGTGTGCTTTTAAGATTCAGGGTTTTGAAGGCAATTGGCATGTAGTATTTTTAGGGCATTGTGATTTAAGGGGCTGGGTTTCCCTGTTCGTATACAGAAGTTGTGCGAGTTCATATAAAGTCGGGCAAGTATGCATACGTGGATGGGTGGATGGGTGGGTGCATGGGTGGATGCCTCTTTACATGGATCGATGCATCTCACACACAAACACTTCTTAAATGCGTGCGTGAGCGTACGTGCGTTTTTTGTTTTAATGCCCGTGTGTAACCCAACCCTGAGAATGGGGGGTTTTGCGTAGGCCTGATAGCCAGCACCCAGGAATGCGCAGGATACCTCGAGCTTTGCATGGGCTCCAGGTGCATGGGACCGGTTTAGGGTTAAGGGGTTCCAGAGGAGTTCCAGGGGTGGTTTAGATGTGCCCGTCCAGGGGCTAATCAATAGATAGTGATGCCAGAAGTGCTTTTGTTCGTTACACACTGCATGGGGATTTTAAACACTTTGTCACAGATTGATCGTTGTTGAAATGTCTTTGTTGCATATACGACACATCTGTACACATTGCAAATTTTTCTCATTTTATATCACAATACATTACCATATTGCATTATATTATACCTGCCTTGCCTATCTTCCTACCTACCTGCCTACCTCCTACCTGCACCGACGGCACCTTGGCTACGCACCTGCCCACTTTCCTGCCTACTTGTCTGCCTGCTTATTCCACTTACCTACCCACCTACCCATTCCTAGCTACCTAGCCAGTTCCCCAGCTACATGTGGTGAAGAATGAATAAATCCTTCCCAAAAGGGGAGTTGCTGTGCAACCGACGGTGGCCAAACAGGTGCCACAGCTGTGCACGGCACACCGCTGCAGTCTGCTTTGGCAGCAGAGGCCGCTACGCTCCCGGGCGCCAATTTAGGGTTTTGGAGGTGAAGAATAGGCTTTCAGCGAAGCTTTATTTTAGGGCTAGTGTGAAGATTTCTGGTTTCTGCGGGCTTCGGGCTTCCGATGGAAACAGGATGTGGAAGGCATGGCGCTTGCACTACAGTTACAGGTTTATGTTGAGAAGTTTCCGGCAGACCTGCATTCTGACCGGGGGATGGTCCGAAACCGCCTGCAGCCGCTCCACCCGGCAGTGCCTGCTCTAGAATGCTGGAGATGAGGTATCTTTTAGGGTGTAGGGTTTAGGGATGGTTTAGGGCTTAGGGTTTAGGGTTTTGAGTTGGGGGGTTGGGGTTGAACATTGTTTGCGGGACTTCCGGGTATCGAACATCGGGCAATCGAGGCCTTCAGGGCCTTGGAGTTAGAGCTTGAAGTAGCTTGTGGACAACCGGCCATGCTGCAATGTAGAAGTCTTAGTAATTAGAATAGGGTTTTTTGGTGTATACTACACTATAATTTTGATAAGGAACATCCAAAATAGTACAGGCTAGTTATTGAGGCCCCCATAGCATCCCCGCTGTGCTTGTTCGAGTTACTGGAGTCGAGACCTGAAAAGGCAGCAAACAACCCGGGAAGAAGTACTTATATAGCTCTGTAGACCTCAGGCGTTCAATCTTCTTGGACTGAAGTTCGACTACGTTTTCCAATCGTATATTGCACTCCCTTTTAAAGCTCTCCAGGATCCGAAGCCCTACATCAAAAAAGCCCAGGAAGATGGCCTTGTCCGGCCCACAGGACGCGAGCAACATGTTGCGAAGGTTCGCCACACTGGAATGCAACGAGGCCTGGATACTTCATTTTGCGGCCTGGTGCGTCCGTCTGATTATTATATGTACTATGCCAGCGGGGTTTGGAGCTCTTAACTGGCTTTTCGGGTTCGGTACAACCTTACAACCTCGTGATAAAGATGGTTTGGGGGGGTGGTGCCGGGGTCCAGGGAGGCAATTCTCCAAAAGCTGATGAAGTTACAAAATGATACGCCTCGAAAAACGGCAGTGATGCAAGATGCAGCAGACACCGAAAACACAATCTGTAAATTTTACCCGTCTTAACCACTCCCGGGTCTTCGAACCCCTAGAGTGTAGAGCTCTAGCCCCTTAAGCGCCCCTAAACCCCTCAACTTCACCCTGAATCGAGCGAAAATGTCCCTCCAAATGCCAGTAGCACCTGAATCCCACCCCAAGAGGCTTCGCTCCTGAAATCCGGTGCGAGTCGACTCTACGAGCTACTTCCGGAGAGAAGTTTTGTATAGGGCTATACCAGGGTTTGGGGGGTTTAAGGTTCGAGGGTTCTGCTAGGGTTTTACTCATGCTTTGTGTGGGTTTTGAAAGGTTTGCCATAAGAGTTTTAGCAAATTTGCATTGGTTTTGTATAAGGGTGGTTGTTAACGCGTTTCTATAAGAGTGTCACGGCTTCTGAAGGGTTTTCTAGGGCTTGATGGTGGAGGCTTGGGCTTTTGCGGTTAAGGAGTTAGGGCTGATTAGGGATCGAGATTTCAGGTTCTTGGGGACTTGGGGGTTGGTGCATAGGCTTGGGTTTGGGGTTCAGAATGGGGAATTGGGGTTTCAGGGTTGGGGTTGTGAGGGTATCGGGGTAGCCTCCCCGTTTCTACGTACCACCTTTACTCGTTGCTTGTGTTTAGTCCTGAGACTTTGCGACAAAGCCGGCGCTTTGGCTTATAGCCTCGAGCGGGCCTGTAGCACTAGGTTACAGCACCGCCCAGTGTTCCTGAGAGTGTTTGGACTATAGGGTTCATTCACGGCTTGAAAAGGTTTGCAGTTCAGTCGAGGGCGACCATGTGTTCCTTCCGCTTGTAGGCGGACTGTCGACAGACCTTCATCCTTGCAATGTCGAGCAGGTTTAGGGGTTTAGAGTTTTATGGTTAGTGTTTATATAAATGGGCAGAGTGCGAGCAGCGCAGCACCTGGCATGTTGCTGCTAGTTAGGGCTAAACGAGCCAAGCCGAGCCGGGTCTGCGGGTCGGCTTAGTGTCTTATAAGCCTCGAAGGTTGAGGCTTCAACCCGTCAATCCCAATCGGTACATGCTGCAAACGCTGAACTTCCAGCGGCTACGAAAGCCAAGAACCCTGAACGCCAATACGCACCCAATCCTCCACCATACAACCTCACCCCTATGCAACAACGCACCACCTCCGAAAACCGGATAACTCAAAAGGATGCTGGCCCTGATAAAAAATCTGAACTACTTTAATGAATACACATTCACATGGTACAGCCCAATTAATACACATTCACAGCCCCATGAGCAGAAGCTGATAATTTGCAACCACTTAGTTGATTGAGAGGTTGCTGAATCTATGGATTCATCGGTTGATTCATTGATCGGTTGATTGATCGATTGATTTGTTGATCAGTTCAGAAGATATGTGTGTTTGTTTTTGTTGTTCTCTCTCTCTCTCTCTCTCGCTGATTCTCTGACTCTGACTCTCACTCTCTCACACACACACACCCACACCCACAC